GTTGCTGCTTCGCTCTCGGAAGAACGGCATCGACTGTGTTAGCAAAGCCCCTTTGAACCCCACCCCCCCCCCAATACCAAAGTTCCAAGCCATTGGACCCGATCAAGGCCAGCGGCCTACGTAGAGTGCACACCCAAATGCCAGGATGTCGGAAACTTCTTTCAAATCACTCCCTCGACCAGTTCGGCTGCAGGGGTGTGTCTTGGGCAGAAGTTTCTGAGGGCAGTTCTCGTAGACCACCTCCAGTAGTGCCAACACCAGAGGCGCTACATGGCACCACGGGCGTTACAGTGCGCTACAACAAATCTGGATTCTCACCCTGCTCCTCCTTCTGACTCTGATCCTGCTAGCAGCGGGAGCACAACGACGAATAGTTTTCTGAGTCTCAAACACTCAAAGCGAAAATGCACATAGCAACGAGAAGAGAGTGCAATTAAATGTAACACTACTGTTGGTTGGCTCTGGCTGTTGTTAGCTATTTACAATATTCATTAGAAATCAGAAATTTTTCAAGAGGCATTAAGACGTGGTCTCGTGTGTCCATACCCAAGTGTATCCTGAGCATCCTAGGTTCGCCGACATTGACAACAAGTTTGAGGCAGGATTGTTCAGATGCTCCAGGGCCAGACGCTCCAGCTACTATGACATACCTGAATGTAGTATATCATCATGTGCTCTAATATCTTATGAACATCTTATATACTAAGCCTTGAACCTAGACTTTTTGTACGGTTTAGGTTCAGGGTTTAGGGTTACTTCACAGTTACAAGCTGGGTTATGAGTCGTCTATAGATATCCACGGACGGGGTGTGCAAGTGCTGTAAATTTTAAACCGCGGACAACGCGCCTGTCTTGTACTCTATATGATTGGCTGCGCCTTTAACATATTTGGGTAGGGAACCCTCCCGGAAGTCCATATGCCCGAGCAGCCTTAACGCTCAACCCGAAACAGCCCTACCCTCAAACCTGATGCGCTGACAGTCGTGAGAGTCCTAAGCCGCCGAGATTCGTAAGAAGTACTTGTCATAGTAATGCCAAAACAGCTGAGTAGTTGTGACAAAACAGTAGCAGTTGTGAAAAGAAAGCGGCAGCAACAATAACCAACAGCACCTCTAGTATCAATGATGTTAGCGGTAATCATAACAGCAAGAACTACGAAGGATTGCGCCTTTTCAAATCATGATAATAGTGCTATAGGAGTACTAATGAAGCTAGTGCTAACAAGAAGTGTGACAGTAACCTCCACAGTACAGTTACAATATTGAAACAAACAGTACTAGTAATACACAGAATCATATCAAAAGCAACAATGGCACTTGTACTACGACTGAGGCTAATGCTAATGCGAATACCAGTACTAATACGAATACTACTACTGATACCAATACTAATACTCATACTAATGCCAATACGAATGCTACTAATCCTGATGCTAACAACAATACTAGTAGTAATCATAATAATGCTGGTAATATAGAGTCATAATCATATATAGTCATGACCATCGAAACAGACATCATCCTAAACCCTAAACCCTAACCCCTAAACCCTAAACCTTAACCCCAGAGGCGATCCTAGCGAAACTGGAGCAGAGCCAGATGCAACAGAGGCAGATGCACCTCCAGGTGGCAGAAGGGGGCGTTCCTCAACTCTAGGGGTACCTTATATCCCATGATTTGGGGTTTTACCTTTGGGACCCTTGTTGTGGTTAGGGATTTAGGGATCCAGCGCTTTGGGCGCATGGTTTGGAGATCTCGGGTTCAGGGTTGGGAGTTTGACGGGTCCGGAGGGTTTAGGGGTCCTCAGGGTTTAGGGTTTAGGGTTTAGGGTTTAGGGTTTAGGGTTTAGGGTTTGGGGTTTAGGGTTTGGGTTCGGGTTTCTGCGGCTCCAAAGTTGTAGAGTGTGGGGATTCGGCTTCGGGGAATCGCAGGATTTCAACATCCAGCTTGTAGAAGCGACGGCTACCGCTACCACCGCCACAGCTACTATTGCTGCTGCTGCTACTACTACTACTACTACTACTGCTACTGCTACTACTACTACTACTACTACTACTACTACTACTACTGCCACCGCCACTCCATCGTAACGATGATGCTATGGCATTTGCTGTAGTAAAAAATGCGACAGTGTTGACAAAATGGCGAACACCTGTGCTAAATGATATCAATAGTACGGCCGGCAATATTCGAAAACACCAGCGTTCGTGACACTATTGTGCATGAGCATCGGCTAGTCTTTGTAGTAGTACTTGTATGAACCATCGGGATTGCGATCATTATGACAGCACATAAGAAATAATGGTGATTCCCTCGGCTCATTTTCATAATCTTCAGACGCATGCAGACGTTGTATTGGTAACATACCAACAACAACTGGTAAGATATCGCATGTACAAGCCGTAGATGTATCCTGTATATGCATATATGTATGTCTACATACACACACACACACACACATAGTCTTATGTTTTTTATTACAGTTGACAGCATGCCAGCAATACATCAGCATTGAGCCAACAAATAATAAGAACTCATGACTGGTATGTCTATCTCAGTGCAGCAATCCCCTCGTAGCATACTAATTTCACGCAGTAAGACTGTCTTCTATGCTGTTCCAATGCGTTTGATTGTAGACGCATGATATTCAAAGTCTCAGCGGATCCGCAAAGATTAGGCGCGTTTTCCTAACCTGAATGCTGGGAATTAAAGATGATCCCGGTAAGCCAAAGATATGTGCAACATCCGCTGCAAGCCTGAGCCCTAAACCTACACCCTAAACCCTAAACCCTAAACCCTAAAACTACAAGCACATTTGGGGCTGGAGCATTCTGTGGTCTATTCAGCCCCAAAAACCTGAACCCGGAGGCCTTGAAACCAGAAGCTATTCAACCCCTAAGCCTCCGCGGCCTAAGCCACAAGCCACGCGCAAACCCCAAACACGCGCCTAACCCCCCCCCAAGCCGCTGGCGGCGAGGTGATGCAGGCCATCCAGGGTGCTTGGGCCCCAGCTACTTTGATCCTTGGTTTTAGGGTTTACCTTAAGAACCCAAACCCTGCTTTTTTGTAGGGTCCCCTATAAATCCCATACTAGGGTTTATAATAAGAACCTACAAAAAAGTAGGTTTTGGTTTCTTAAGGTAGGGTTTAGGGTTTAGGGTGTCGATCCATCTTTCCCTGTGTCCCCCTCTACCGATTAATCTATCCAGCCAGCTAGCTAGCCAGCTAGCCAGCTAGCCAGCTAGCCAGCTTGCTGAACGGCTCATGGGGAATCCCTACACCCTGAACCGAGGTCGGCTTTGAATACTTCTACATAGGGGTTATAAAGTACCTCATGGGGTTATAGGTAGTAGAACTATAGGTACCTTTACATATGACCCTGTGCACGAAGTGCCGTTTTTTCAGTAGCCCGAGCCTGGCCTTTCTGGCAGGTTGCCATGGGAGCTCCAACGCGACATCCGGACCAGCGCCGCAGCGACCCGTCGCGCATGACGCACCGGCACAGCAGGCACGCGAGGGTTTAGGGTTTAGGGTTGAGGGTTTAGTATAGGGTTTAGGGCTTAGGGTTTAGGGCTTAGGGTTTCGGGTTTAGGGTTTCGGGCTTAGAGTTTAGGGTTTAGGGTCGCGGAGCCCTGAATCTTCAACGCTGAGCATGTGGGTCAAGTGATGGTCGACGCTAGACTTCGAGGCCCGTTCTTGTCGGGCAGTGTTGTCGCATGCTATCGTAACATGTTGTAAGTTGTAGCAGCAGCAGTACAGTAGTCCAGCACGGAATTATTGCGATACTGAATCTCAGGTTGACAGCATTGATGTCTTATCGTACTTACTAACTGTGTCGTTCGTTCAAGCAGCTCGCAACACTTTGCCATCACAATCCTTCCTTTGCTGTATCCCTTTTGTAGGAGATCTTCAGCCCATTGCCAGATTGAGCCCAGAACCCTCGGAAACCCAACGCTTTTCGCTGTCCTCAGAAGGGCCACTGAAGGGCTTCGCGGTTTCGGGACTCAAGTTCAAAGTGGTGGGGTTTGCGGCTTCTTCCCCCAAAGCTCATGAATGAAGGTCAAAGCTGCTTAGGGTTTAGGGGTTTAGGGGGTTTAGGGTTTAGGGTTTAGGGTTTCGGGTTTAGGGTTTAGGGTTTAGGGGAGTCTTAGAATAGCGCTCCGGGCCGTAGCCGATGGTTGGAGCTGTGGACTCACTCGTTGATCGTAAGGTGCGTTATATGGGATGCTATAAGGGACACTGCAAGGGATACTACAAGAACTCATGGAACCCCAAGACCTAAACCCTAAACTCTAAACTCTAAACCCCAAACTCTAAACCCTAGACCCTAGACCCTAGACCCTAGACCCTAAACCCTAAACCCCTAAACCCCTAAACCCCTAAACCCAAACCCAAACTCTAAACCCTAAACCCTAAACCCTAAACTGCGACCCTAACCCTGAACCCTAAACCCTAAACCCTAAACTGCGACCCTAACCCTGAACAGCCCCCAAAAGGGCTTGAACTTATCAAGGCGAAGGTCTCGCGCGAACCGCCAAGCTGAACCCGAGCTGAACCTTTTAAATCTTAGGGTCCTTAGGGTCCTTAGGGTTTAG